TAGGGCTTAAAAAAACTTTGCCAAAAAAAGGTCCCATTACCGATTTATCCTTTTTAAAATGCCTGGCTATCAAGTGACCCATTTGTTACTTTTTTTCATACATTGACCATGAGAAAGTATGCAGATAAGGACTTCTCACTTTTTTCCCAGCAAACTTTTTCCAGGTTCATGACTAAGTATTTAAAGTGTTACTAAACCCCAGGGCCCTGCATGCACTATATCTGGTCTCCCACAGTACACAGAACATAGAATTGCAATTATTTTAGTAAATATAAACTACTAAATACCTTTCCTCATCAGCAGTTGGAGCAGTCCTGTGACTTCTTTCAGTGTCCAGCAGAGCACAAAAGTTTGTAGGAGACGTATTCATTCTCCTCTAGGAGGATGCAGGACCCCTGACTTCTGTCTGCACAGTGCTGATTGGCCCTGTGCTGATCACATGCACTGTCCCAAGAAAAAACAAACAAAAAAACTCTCTAGCAATACACACCAAACTGAGCATGTGCACAGCGACTCCAAACCTATGTTATTTCAAGAGATATTTAGGGGACAAAGTAAGAAGGGGAAGATCAGAGAAGACAGGATTAAACAGCCTTTTTACACAATGCGGAGAATTATTTTAGGTTCCACAGTGAGTATACCCAGCATGCTTTACTGCATACACAGACTGATTTTATTTTTGTGGGTTTAGTAACACTTTAAGCCAGAAGGAAAGCATACCAATCAGGCAACAGAACAGGATTTTCAGAAGAAGGTCAGCAATGGTAGCTTTTATGTTTCTCATGAAAAACAATACTGATAGACTTATTAGCACGTACTGGAACGTTCTGGCATCTTTGCATCGTCGAGTGCCGGCCCAAGAATGTTACTATTGACCATTGAGGCAAAGGGGAGTAGAACCAACAACTGGCACTATCAGGAATTATTTTAAAAATTGCCAGGTGCAGTAGTCCACCACATTCAAGAACCCAGACTGCAGAAGAATACATGTCAAAGGTATGTGCCTACATTATAAGACTGGAGCAGTACCGGTTGGGCACTAATAGGTCTAGATTAAAGCATAAGTGCAACTAAAATCACAAAAAGAACAAACAGCATAACACTCATAGCTTACAATTGGTAGGATTTGTCTCTTCAGCCGATTCCTCATCTATTATGGAAAATCTTTATCCGTCCTACTCAGCCAAGTTCCTATTCCATGACCCACACTGTTGCTAATTCCAAGTGGAAGGGGGGATCAATGATCCAGTGCTGTGTTGCCCTCCCTAAGACCAGCAGTCCCCTGATGTCATCCTCTGCTGGATTGTGAGAAAACCCCTCTGAAGCCCATCTAATAAATATCCGTTTCAGGCAGGCACTCATGTGGACACCTGAAGAAGAACCCAAAGTAAACCAAACAGCAGAAGACTCGGGGCTTGATTGGCTTTTATATAGGAATATAATTATTATTTTTAAAATTTTGTAATCGGTTAGAATGAGGCTTTCCAGTATAACCTAAGACAAAACTTTTTTTTTTTATTTTGTATAGAGTAGAATAGGATTAGAACACTTATCAGGTTTTATTGCGGTCTGCGTCCCCATTAGGTAAATTCACCCTTTTATAGTTACATAGTTGGTAAGGTTGAATAAAGATACTAGTCCATCCAGTTCAACCTGCTTGCTAAGATGCCCATCCAAGAGTTTTTTAAAATGATCAATACTTCCTGCTGACAGCACGGATTGTGGAAGGGAGTGCCACATCCTTACCGCCCTAATAGTGAAAACCCCTATGCAGTCTAAGGTTAAGCCTCTTCTCCTCAAATATCGAGTGGCCCCACGTCGTGTACTCTCAGACTGAATAGCTTATTCCCTACGCTGGAATCACCATTAAAATGTTTGTATATTGCTATTATCATCTTCTACAGGGAGAATAAGCTTAATGTTAGTAGTTGTTTCTCATAACTGAGGTCGTCCAGTTTCTTTATTAGCTTTGTTGCAAGAGCAAATACATTATATTGCCAAAAGTATTGGGACACCCCTCCAAATCATTGGATTCAAGTGTTCCAATCACCTCCATGGCCACAGGTGTATACAATCAAGCCCCTAGGCATGCAGACTGCTTCTACAAACATTTGTGAAAGAATGGGTCGCTCTCAGGAGCTCAGGGAATTCAAGCGTGGTACCGTGATAGGTTGCCACCTGTGCAATAAGTCCATCCATGACATTTCCTGGCTACTAAATATTCCACAGTCAACTGTTAGTGGTGTTATAACAAAGTGGAAGCAACTGGGAAACAACAGCAACTCGGCTACGAAATGGTAGGCCTTGTAAAATGACAGAGCGGGGTCAGTGCATGCTGAAGTGCACAGTGCGCAGAAGTCGCCAACTGTCTGTAGAGTTAATAGCTAAAGACCTCCAAACTTCATGTGGCCTTCAGATTAGCACAACAACAGTGTGTAGAGAGCTTCATGGAATTGGTTTCTATAGCCGAAAAGCTGCATCCAAGCCTTACATCACCAAGTGCAATGCAAGGTGTCGGATGCAATGGTGTAAAGCATGCCACCACTGGACTCTAAAGCAGTGGAGACGTGTCCTATGGAGTGACAAATCATGCTTCTCTGTCTGACAACCTAATGGACGTGTCTGGGTTTGGTGGTTGCCAGGAGAACAGCACTTGCCTGACTGCACTGTGCCAAGTGTAAAGTCTGGTGGAGGGGGATTAGGGTGTGAGTTGTTTTTCAGGGGTTGGGCTTGGCCCCTTAGTTCCAGTGAAGGGAACTCATCAGGCGTCAGCATACCAAGACATTTTGGACAATTTCATGCTCCCAACTTTGTGGGAACAATTTGGGGATGGCCCCTTCCTGTTTCAACATGACTGCGCACCAGTGCACAAAGCAAGGTTCATAAAGACATGGATGAGCGAGTTTGGGGTGGAGGAACTTGACTGGCCTGCACAGAATCCTGACCTCAACCTGGTAGAACACCTTTGGCATGAATTAGAGTGGAGACTGCAAGCCAGGCCTTCTCATCCGACATCAGTACCTGACCTCACAAATGTGCTTCTGGTGAAACCTTCCCATAGACACACTCCTAAACCTTGTGGACGGCCTTCCCAGAAGAGTTGAAGCTGTTATAGCTGCAAAGGGTGGGCCAACTCAATATTGAACCCTACGGACTAAGACTGGGATGCCATTAAAGTTCATGTGTGTGTAAAGGCAGGCCGACCAATACTTTTGGCAATATAGTGTGGATAACAATTGTTTTCTATGTGCCCTGTTCACAACATATTTGTGTGGTAGAACTGCAGAATGTAAACCTTTTTTACAAAGTGTGTCTCAAAACTCAGTAATGCATAGAGCTGAATGAAGTGTCATTTTGTTACAATGTGCATGTGAATAGAGCATCTGACCAGCCCTGGAAGCACATGGTTTACTTCCAGGGATGGCAGTTCGGCTACTTAGTTGGGTCAGTTTGTGTGGGGCCAGAATCGCCATCCCTGGAAGCAAAACTGTGCATCCAGGGCAGGTCAGATGCTGTATTCCAGGGCTCGACAAATCCTAAGCGCCAGGTCACCATGGTGACTAGAAATTCCGTCCTGGTGCCTGGGTTCACACACTGCCTTTTATTTCGATGGGAAAGTGCCTCCTACAGACTTCGATGGGAAAATGCCTCCTACAGACTTCGATGGGAAACCGCCTGCCATAGACGTCTACTCTATCACTTGCGAGTCTGGAACGCTCTGATACAAACTCACACAGAACCCTTTTCATATAGGCACTCAAAACACAATGTGTGTGGATCACATCAATAGGAACAAAAATTAGCTAGCCTATCACATAAATCTGTGAATTTCAAAACAAATCCAGAATCGCATGTGTGAACCAGGGCAGCTCCATTCACACGTGGGCATTATGGGATTGCAGCAGAATTGATTTGATCGCAAAACGCAGAATCAGGTGCCATTATTCTCAAGCTGCCAAATCCAGCTGCCATTTACCATCATTCACCACTTACAGCCCCTTCCATACAGACCGGACTCCCTAAAGGAGTCCGCTTGCTCAGCAGGGATCTGTCCGCTGATCCCCGCAAAGCAAGTGGATGGCTGGTCCATGTCCGCTCCGCTTATGCAGAGTGGAAGCAGACACAAGCTGCTCTCCTTTATGGTCGGTTGGAAGTAAACAGACTGCTCTGTCTATTTACACCCGACTGCCATCTGATCTGATTCGCTAGATGAAGGGGAACTGTCTGTTTTTAGCATGACACAAGTCCGCTCCACAGAGGAGAATGAAAGGACAGATCGCGCCCTTCCAAAAAAACTAATAAGCTGACCCGATCTGTCCACCTGTGTGAAAGAGGCCTATATAAAACCAAAGTCTAGCCCATCATGCCCAGGCTACATAGGAAATAGAATAGAAAAATCTGTTCTTTTTCCTGCTTTGTTGCTGAGAGCTACCATTTAATAATACTAATATCAATAATGTCACATTAATAAAGGTGAAATTGTAGGTTCATAGGGAAGCCCAAAATGTTTTGTTAACCACTTGCTCTCCAGAGGATTTACATTCCTTCCTTACCAGGCCATTTTGTGTGTGTTACTTTAGCTGACAATTGGGCGGTGATGCAACGTTGCACCCACATGAAATTTATGTCCTTTTTTTCCCACAAACGGAGCTTTGTTTCGGTGGTATTTGATTATCTTTGCGGTTTTTATTTTTAGTGCTATAAACAAAAAAGACCTGTAATTTTGAAAAAAAAATATATATTTTTGACTTTTTGCTATAAAACATATCCAGTAAAAAAAATCTAAAAAAATCAAATTTTGTCATAAATTTAGACCAAAATGTATTCTGCTACATGTCTTTGATAAAAAAAAATCCCAACACAAGTAAATTAATTGGTATACGTGAAAGTTATAGCGTCTACAAATGGAGGTATATATACTGGATTTTTTTTATTTTATACTAGTAATGGCGGCAATCAGCGGGACTGTGGCGAGCATTCTGGAACTGAGGGGGAAATGACTAACTGCCACTGACATCCCCAGTGACACTAATACAGTGATCAGTGCTAATAAAAAGTCCTGACACTGTACTAATGACACTGGGCAGAAATGGGTTAACATCTGGGGCGATCAAAGGGTTAACTGTGTGCTTTACTATGTAAACATGCTGCTTTGCATTGCTCTGCTATGCAGAGCAATACAAAGCAGCGAGCTGGTGCTGACAGGGGAGAGATCTGTATTGTTTACATACAGACCTCTGTCAGTGTTGCTTGACGATCGCCGGGTGCCAACAGGGAATCTGAGCCAGGGCCTGGTGAATGACAGCTGTAGCCACCAATGGCAGCGCGGGTAGGGAGGTTTGCATGCCCCCTACCGGGAAATGCTAAATCATGTATATATACACACACATGATTTTGTTGTAGCAGTACTTCTGCTATAGGTCAGTCGGGAAGCGGTTAAAAAATGTTACATATATATATTTTTTGGTTTTTTTTGCATTTTGACAGTACTTGTGTGATGTGAAGAAGGCATTAGGGCCTGTTCACAAACGTGTGCTGTAAACGTGATATGAATTTATTGAAAACACGTATTGCATGTTTAGCATCTTTTTGCCTTTTTTGTGCGCTTCATTTTTGAGCAATGTGGTAGTCCACTCAACCGATGTATATTACAAAAAGCTTTATTTAGTGCAACTATAATAAAATCATAAACAAAGTACTACTAAAATCACCAACATCACCAACCTCTGATGCAACCGGTCTAATCTGGCAAAACCAGTCAGGCATGACCCTTATATATCTTTCTCTTTTTTATTTTTCCCTTCCAGGGACATACTGAGGTGGATGAGTTCAAACCAGGTTTTTTTTTTAGCCTCACTTTATCAATTTATACTCTTACGGGAGACTCCCCACCCTTTGCAACTTCTAGTTTTCAAGGATGATTTATTCCCAGCAGATTCTATACGATTTGGCACCTGGAGTGGGTCTGACCACATCAACCTACACAGCCCTAATGATGGGGGAGGCAATTACCCTGAAACGCATTTGGATTTTTACCTGTATTTTTCCCTTCCAGGGACATACTAAGGTGGTTGAGTCCAAACCAGGTTTTTGGCCTCAGTTTGTTGAATAAATAAAAACTGTGTAGGTCAATAACATCAGCATAAATGTTTAACTCACTGTTAAGGCCATTGAAGGGTGAGGCAACGTGTTGGATGTTTACCCGAGGTAACATATGGTCTGTGGCATTGCAGGTCGGTAACCCGACATGAACCTACTGGCTCTCCTGCAGTTTGGATCTGTTGGCAGTACTTACAGTTAATGTGAAGTGTCCCTTTTGTTGCTGGCTACAGTTTTAGTTGAAATCCAAAATCATCTGACCCCCCCCAACCCCCAAGTACATCAAACTTTATTAAATTTGGGGTACAAGACACAATATTTTTCTACATGAAGGCTCCACCATCTTATAAACCCTTTCCGTATTTTAGATACATTTCATCAGGCTCAACCAATCACCAACATCTCATATACCTTGAGGGCCTTTAGCTGTCAAGCATATAGTTACCTCTCCTACATTTCAATCTCCATTTACTTCTTAGCATCATACACAAGCAGAACCATTAGATCATGGTTTGTCCTAGGCCGGAGTAAGACATTTTAGCTTTCATGAGTAGTGGAACTGCGAATATCAATGAGAAGCCAGCAAGTTAAAGAGGAGTTCCAGGTATGGATATTTTATACATAGTAACTGTACATTGGTTCAGCTTGGACCAATGTAACTGTATATACCATACCTGACTGATGCCCCTAAAAGCTGGAAAACACCGAAATTGACACAGCTACTCCAGTAATCTCCACTTGCTACCGGGTCCAAAGCGAAGTGTCTGGCCCGATGCACTGTGAACACGAACATTGTGTCTTTTTCCCAGAAAGACCTCAATCATGACACAAAAATGTATTGTGGCCACTAGATGGTTTTGACAATAAAGAAACCACACATAGGGCTCGACAAATCCCAGGTGCCAGATCGCCATGGCGACAAGAAATTGCATCAGGATGCCTGGGTTCACACACTGCCTCCCATTAACTTTAATGGAAATTTGCCTCCCATAGACTTCAAAGCAAAAACGCTTCTCATAGACTTTAAAGCAAAAACTCCTGTCAATAGCAATCCTATGTGAACATTTATCTATGGATGCCACTCTACTCTATCACTTGCGAGTCTGGAATGCACCGCTACAAACTTGCACAGGACCCTTTTTGTAATGGCATTCAAAACGTAATGCGTGTGGATCGCATCTGTGTGAACCACCTCAATAGGAAGACACAATTTATAGCCTGTCATGCGAATCTGTGAGTTTGAAAACGCATCCAGAATTGCATATGTGTGAACTAGGGCGGCTCCATTCATGCCTGGGTGTTTTTGGGGCGATTGCAAAACACAGGTTCAGGTGCCATTATTTTCAACATTTTGACATTTCAGGCATTTACAAAAATTTCATGCTTTTAACTTTGTGGGAACAGGTTTGGGATGGCCCATTCCTGTTCCAACATGACCGCGCACCTATAATCAAAGCAAGGTCCAAGGTGGGGGAACTTGACTGTGGCCTTCACAAAGTCCTGACCTCAACCCGATAGAACACCTTTGGGATGAATTTGAGCGGAGACTGCAGGCCAGGCCTTCTCATCCAATATCAGTGCCTGACCTCACAAATGCACTTCTGGAAGAATGGTCAAACTTTCCCATAGACACCCTCCAAAACCTTGTGGACGGCCTTCCCAGAAGAGTTGAAGCTGTTATAGCTGCAAAGGGCGGGGCCAAGTCAATACTGAACCCTAAAGACTAAGACTGGGATGCCATTAAAGTTCATATGCATGTAAAGGCAGGCCGACAAATACGTTTGGCAATACAGTGTATGTAATGGCAAGGAGTGCTGGGGTGTGCTGGAGGGCCAATTGTTGCTGGCTGCTGGAAGATCTATTGTAGCTATTTTGTATTGTTTCTTGAGATCTTTTTTGCTGGGGGGTGGTAAATTGTTGCTGGGAGGGATCTACTGTTGAAGAACTAAAGGTAAAAATACTCACCTATGCTCCAACGGCCCAGTGCCCACGAGGTCCCTTACCAGAATCTTCCTCCAGGTGCCGGTCTTCAGCAATCTTGCTTGTCCAGTGCAGGATGATGCCACTTCTGTGCATGCACGGGAGCCACTCAGACCAGCATGCTGGCACTGTGCCGGAAGCACACATGCAGATCCGTTTACATTCTACAGAGAACTCTGAACAGGCAGGCAAGTTTATTCTATTGCAGAAAAGACAATGCACGATTCCTCGGAAATAAAGAGCTGCCTGTTTGCTATCATTCATTGTTTACCTGCAGTATCTGTAGGGGTAAGTGATTTATGTATCTCCCAAAGCCTGCCTGAAAAACTGCCTGAGATGGCACCCCCCCATCCTGCCTAGTTCCCAGCCATTACTGCTCATCCCCGGGGGGGGGGGGGGGGGGGGGAGTGAGGGCACATATGCAGCAAGGGGGGGGGAGCTGAGTGCACACGTGCAGCGGGGGGGTGGAGCTGAGTGCACACGTGCAGCGGGGGGGTGGAGCTGAGTGCACACGTGCAGCGGGGGGGTGGAGCTGAGTGCACACGTGCAGCGGGGGGGTGGAGCTGAGTGCACACGTGCAGGGGGGGGGGGGGGCTGAGGGCACATGTGCAGTTGGGGGGGGGGGGAGCTGAGGGCACATGTGCAGTTGGGGGGGGGGGGGGGGGGGGGGGTAGCTGAGGGGGTGCAGGGGGGGGGGGGGGGGAGCTCAGGGCACATGTGCAGCGGGGGGGGGGTATACTTCTCAGGGCACATGTGCAGGGGGGGGGGGGGAGCTGAGGGCACATGTGCAGGATGTTGAATAGGAGAAAGCTAACTCCTGTTATGATGGGGGTGACCAACAGCTGGAAGCGTCTTAATTTAGCAACAAGGCAGTACAGGATGACCTCATCTCCGGGATTTTTTTAGGCAGGCTTCCAGAGATACACAAATGGCCTACCTGCCATTGTTCAGCTTTTGTCACAGCTGCACATGTAGTTTTTCTTTACAGGAGCCCCCCGTAGATATTGTACACAGCTCTGCTGTATTGTATTTGTGGATGTACAACAATAAAGGGATCCTTTTACTAGAGAACCATCACTCATTGCCTGTTTGTATGGACCTCCTGGGATGAGCCCCCAGTTGTATTGCAGGCACAGTGTATATACCAGCTCCATACAGCCAATAGAAATATTCAGAACACTGCAGAGTATGTCATTCCCTGGTACACTATGAAGTATAAAGAGACACAGGGCAGGAATGAGGGTCAGAGCAGATCACCCAGCAGTACAGGCCAGATGTATGATGGAAGCACAAAGCATATACCATCCTGTGAGTGGGAGGGACTACAGTGATGTGCAGTACAATATAGAGAGATATCAGAAGGGAGTTATTGGTGCAGCAGATGTACAGCACAGTATATACAGAGGGTAGTAGATGTATAGCACAGTGTATACGGCAGTAGATGTACAGCACAGTGTATACAGAGGGCAGTAGATGTACAGCACAGTGTACATAGGGTGCAGTAGATGTACAGCACAGTGTACATAGGGTGCAGTAGATGTACAGCACAGTGTACATAGGGTGCAGTAGATGTACAGCACAGTGTACATAGGGTGCAGTAGATGTACAGCACAGTGTACATAGGGTGCAGTAGATGTACAGCACAGTGTACATAGGGTGCAGTAGATGTACAGCACAGTGTACATAGGGTGCAGTAGATGTACAGCACAGTGTACATAGGGTGCAGTAGATGTACAGCACAGTGTACATAGGGTGCAGTAGATGTACAGCACAGTGTACATAGGGTGCAGTAGATGTACAGCACAGTGTACATAGGGTGCAGTAGATGTACAGCACAGTGTACATAGGGTGCAGTAGATGTACAGCACAGTGTACATAGGGTGCAGTAGATGTACAGTACAGTGTACATAGGGTGCAGTAGATGTACAGCACAGTGTACATAGGGTGCAGTAGATGTACAGCACAGTGTACATAGGGTGCAGTAGATGTACAGCACAGTGTACATAGGGTGCAGTAGATGTACAGCACAGTGTACACAGGGTGCAGTAGATGTACAGCACAGTGTACATAGGGTGCAGTAGATGTACAGCACAGTGTACACAGGGTGCAGTAGATGTACAGCACAGTGTACATAGGGTGCAGTAGATGTACAGCACAGTGTACACAGGGTGCAGTAGATGTACAGTACAGTGTACATAGGGTGCAGTAGATGTACAGCACAGTGTACATAGGGTGCAGTAGAT